CAGTACAACATGATCGTACCAAGCACATCGAGATTGATCGTCACTTTATCAAAGAGAAACTCAAGGCAGATATCATTAGTCTTCCATATGTCCGATCTGAAGATCAATTGGCAGACATTCTCACAAAAGCAGTACCAGCTGGAGTCTTTCAAGCAACATTAAGCAAGTTAAACATCCGAAATGGATGATTCAACTTGAGGGGGAGTGTTAGAAATATCAAACAAAAAGGGAATAGTGTAATATCTTGATAATATCCTTGATTGGAATCAAATTACCAATCAGGATATTTGATTAACTTCCACTCACTTTCCTTGATTGTCTTCATTATTAACTTTGTAATATTTATAGACATTATTAGAGATGTATTCAATAAGATGAACATTTTCAGCTGTGAATTGATTCTATATTTCTAATAGCAGCTACCTGAAGAAAGTGTTTAGATCATCCAACATAAATTACCTAAAAAGCAGCAGCCAGCAGATAACTGTATAATAAAGTGGAGCACAAACCATATTTGGATGGGACTGCAGAGTACATTCTAACGCAACATGCGATGCCTTTCGGCCCATCAGTCTGATGAAGTAGTAATACTGCAAAAAAAGGCAAAGCCAATACCGGAAGTTGAAGAATGTGCAAAACAACTGCATCAGACAACAAATTGGAATCATTTACTCCAACAAAGGAGATATGAGTCTCTAAAACCTTGTTTGGTTTATTTAAGACATGAAACTGTGAAAGAGTTTTTTAAACGAAGTTGACCCCAAAGTAACATTACATGTAAAACAGACGGTCTTTACCTTCTCCGCTGAGAGTGCATCTGTGCAGACGTTGCTAATGAGCTGGGGATTTGTTTTTGAAACAAATGGACAACTTCATTAATACTCACAAACAAAGTGTTTACAGCCTTAAAAAAGTTAAAATACAAAGTAGAAGAGATCAAAAGAACTAAAAATATGAGCTTACACTCATCCTTCGCTTCCTCTTTCTTCTTCCTTCACAATATGTAGACACTAGAAATTTGATCCATTTGAGCATTTCCTCCTCTTGGAGTTGTTTATTCTCATGGAATAGCTTATTCCTAGCATTCCAGATGCTATAGCAGGTGGCGGCATAAGCACTGATGAGGTACTGTCTTTTTTTCTTATTTAGCTTCATAATCCTACCTCTGACCTCTTCAATCCCTTTGCCCTCAATATTGCAGTAAGTCCACTCAGAAACCCTCCTGAGTATAGCCTTGGATGAGCTGGGAATTCACCTGTGACAAAAACACGAAAGTACAAAAATGTGATTAATCCGTAGTTCTCTTCCTGAGAAATCATCCTTGTGTCATTAAGGAAAATACCAATCCATGTCCCTTTTGTCCTTTCGAGATGGAGTCTTTCAAAACAATCTTGCTACCTTCCTAGGTAGGATAAGGTTTGTGTACGCCAACCCCCTCACCAAACCCTACATGTGGGACTTTGCTCAGTAGGTTGTTATTGTTGCATCTTCAGATAAAAATCAAGCACGCGTGACACGTCTTATACAGTTATTTAAAACTAATAATGTAATTTAATATACGTAGCAATGTCTATGCGAAACATGGTTCTGTAAGTCATCTCAACCACTCTTGACATGAAAAATATATAGTAGTACCTTGCATATAGTATCGAAACCAACATTTGTCTCTACAAACTGGTTCTTAAGATCTTCATTTATTGTTAATGGAACTCCAACAGCCTAAATGTACGTCATGAAAAGATTCAGACTCAAAGAAACTTGGGAATATAAGGAGATTTCTCGATAAAAAAATTCTGTGAACAAGACATTAAAGTTTGGGTTGCAATGGAAATATATGCACATACATGCGTGTGTACTTACATACGTGTATATACTAACATACAAAAGATATCTTAATAAAAAGGAGTGCCTAGAGAAAGACAACAACAAAAAGGAGTGCCTTGAGAAAGACATACTTGCCTTGGGCATTTAGATTCAGCAAAAGCTTCTGCAAGATAAGCAGCGTGTGTGTTTGATGTTACACCTATAGAAAGAGAAATATGTTAGGGATGCCAAAGTTGGCCTAAAAATTTACCATGATCATGATAAACAGCAGAAAGAATGAAAACCTCCAACAATAACAAGGCCATTCAATTTCAGGGATGTAAAAGCAGCCAAAGCAGCATTTACTTGCTCAGTTGTTCTAAAATGATCTTGCGTTCTCCCCCGGATATCATAACCACCTTGATGCAACAAAGGCAAGAGACTGTGCATTAGCCTAGATGATGATGATAACTCAAAAGTATTAAATCATGAAAGCAATGTTGCTAACCTTGATTTGTGAAGGTAGCCAAAATGTCATTACTGATTTCAATTGACTTCTGTGCAAATAAACCTTAAGAACCACCTGAAGACATCACATAAAACCAGCATTAGCCAGTTCTGTATGCATGCAGATACATCAAAGTTCTCCACAATAAAAGACGGTGTGGATTGATGAAAATTTTATGGTGCACGTGTGGGTACATTGTATTAAACAAAACAATGAGTAGATGTGCAGCATATAGTTAGGATGTACATATCTTGCCTGAGCCGACTTTTGGGATTGTCAAAACGAATCAAACTATCAATGGACTTCAAAGCTTCTGAAGGAACACACGGTTCACCATTTGCATCATTTAGCATGTCTCATCCTTATGCAACTCAAGTTTGGGACGATTGACACAGTAATTGAGGATTCCCCAATGATCATCAACACGACCACCACTGACTAGCCCCAAATAATCATCCACCGAGCCAAGAACTTTCCCAGATTGTCAAAATAATTTGAAAAAATATGATTTTATCTTGCTAGTGAAAGTCTAAGAAAATCAGTTGCTTCACGAACAGGGAGCATATGACTAAGACGTTGTTTTATGTTGTTCACCTTATATCGGCGAGACAATTCAATCAAGTCATCCCCATCAGTCTCTGCATCACTCCATTTATAAATAGGGGTGGACACGGGTCACCAGCAACGGTACCCGCCACCGTCACGGGCAAGGTAGCCGTGTCACCGGTTCCGGGAACCGGTACCGGTACCGCCACTTTCGGTACCGGTTCCGGTACCTATTTTTTGGTACCGGTACCGCCGGTACCGGTCCGGTTCCGGTACCGGTTTAATTTTTTTCTTTTTTTTTTGTTGATTTGAAAATCCTTCTGCAAAAAGTTAAAAAAAAAGGTGGGGGGCACACCTCAAACGGCTATTTAGCCGTTGAGGTGGGGGAGGGGAAGAGGGGAGGGGGGGACCAAGTTTTTTCTATAAATTCTCTCATTTTTTTCATAAAAAATCACTCAATTTCTCAATCCATCTCTCAATCCTCTCATTCTCTCATTCTCTCAATTTATCAATCTCTCAATCTTATTATCTCTATTTAATTTTTATACATTTAATATTCATATAATAATATAAAAATTTTATACATTAAAATTTTGAAATTTTCAAAATTTTAATATATAAAATTTCGAAATTTTTT